AGGAGTGCTCTCGTACTCGAGACACACTTACCCCTCCGGCCTGTGTACTGTGTGGCCAAATCGGCCACACGGCCAACTACAAAGGTTGCCCACGAGCACCGAAGCCCAAACCCTCTTCTAAGAAGAAGGGCAAGGGCCCGGTGCCCAATAAAGCACCTAAAGCCCCCCCCCCCCACCCACTGCGGCGAACTTCCCCGCCTTACCAAAGGCGAACCACTCCGCCCCCAAACCGGCTCCACAACCGGTATGGACGAAGCCTTCACCAAAGGCTTCCGTCCCACCTCCCAAAACTGCTCCTATTTCTTCATCTTTAGCCGATGACATGAATACAGTTCTCAACTTGATTCGTGGAATCGACATTGATGAAATCACTACCGTAGCGGCTAAGCTCCGCCGCGCTTTGTCCACACGGGAACGCCTTCTGGCGCTGTGTGAACACGAAGCGTTACTTAGTGCCTTATCATAAGCACTAACAACAAGTTAGGTTTCCCAAACCTCCTACAACCCATCCTTTGGCCGACCTGGACCTCCTCACGAGACCCAGTAGGCCAAATCCATCCCCATCATACCGACCCTTCAGGTCAACCCACTCTGTCCTCTCGACCTGACATCCCTTCAGGATGCAGGCCACACAAGTTGCTACGAGTATCAAATAGCACCCTTCTGGTGGTATGCGATGCCGCCCTCCATACGCCGACCCTTCAGGTCATACCCCCGTTCAATCCGGCTGATCGTTCCCCTTCAGGGAGTCAGCTGTATTCTCGACGTCACTATTCATGTATGTGTTTAGGGACGTCTGCGCCCCCCCCCCCCTTGAGGGGGGGCGGTCGCTCAGTTGAAGGTTCGTTGCCTCCGGGCGTGTAACCATTAGTCCAAGGCGGTGTTTAGTCAGTAGGAGTCTGACATAAACCTCACAGCCGGCTGTGTTGGTATCCAAAGAAGGATTCACCGCCTCCTTCCTCCGTTGATGGGAAGGTGGTTCCGAGCCCTTAAGGTTGAGAACCGAAAAAAAAAAAAAAAAAAAAAAAAAACTTAAATATAATCATATCTCATGCTTAAATTGACTAATCTTTTGGCAGAATCAACTTCGGTAAATTGTTTGAAACAACCAAGTGTCATATTAATATCAACCAACATGTTGGTTGAATTAACTTCGGTAAATTGGTTAGTACAACGATGTTTCATGCTTATATTGACTAACCTATCGGTTGAAAGAACTACGGTAAATTGGCAAGTACATATTTCATGGTTAAATTGACCAACTCTTTGGTCAAATTAACTTTCGTAAATTGATTAGTTTAGCCACGTTTCATGTTAATTTTTATCAACCTCTTGGTTGAATCAACTGTGGTAAATTGTTCATACAGTCACATATCGACTACGATCTTATTTAAATTGAAGACTAGGAGGTAGTTGCTATAGTTATTTATAATGACCAAATTGAATGAAATCTTAACTATCTTAACAAAGTAACTATAGTAAAAATAATAAAAACCATCTTATTTAATGTATCTAACATCTTGTCAGGCTCATATGGAAACAAGATGCTTGGTCACATATATCACAATATTGTTTGATTTAACAATTTTTTTTTAGAGTGCATCAGGTGATCCGTCTGCTCGTCTGCCCCCTATCCCATAAAAAAAATGTGCACAAGAATAGTTGCGCTCAAGATGTGCTCAAGAAAGGATAGGTATATATAGAATGAGCAAGAGAGCTTTTATAGAGCGATCGCCCCATTTTAAAAGCCCTGAATTGTGTCATATTTAGTCAAAAAAAAATTGACAAAAAGTTTTATAATTTTAAACATCGCACGTTGATTTAAGTTTTTGGTCTGAAATTTAAGAAGTTTTTGTTAATATCTAATACCGTACGATTCAGCAGACCGTGACAAAGAAAGCCAAAGGTTTAGATTCAAAGAAAAGTAGACTGGATTATATTAAGTACAGTGTAATACAGTACCGAAGAACAAAGCTTTCATACGAAACTATTATAACCACCGTTTTCTGGCATTTCTTGGTTATTCTTGGGATCCGTCAATATCCATTGTTTTATAAACAAATATAACGTACAATTATTAATGTATCTTTTTTAAAAACATACACAACCTATCGTTTAAACTTTCTTGACCTTTTTTGTTACTAGATTATACCACTATAATGTGACCATTAATTCCTAAGACTTTGTCTAATTACTTATTTTATAGATTTACGTAGAATTTATTTTATATCTAGAGTATTAGTAATGATAATTTATGCTAGTTCTGATGAATTTTATATAAATGTATATATATTAATATTAACTCATGATGCAGAAAGTGGTGTTATAAGTTTGACCGCTATATGTGTCTGTCTATAGCACCGTAATAGGAATGCACGGGTAAAACAGTTTTGACGCGGTTTTTTTTTTGTTAGAATGATTGTTTTATGTATAAAATAAATTAACATTTCTAGAGAGACGACCACGATATATCGCATATATTATATATAACCCTTAAAAGAGAAGAAACAAAAAATGTTTATGCGTGTTTTTATTGTTTCTCTCTTTCTGCTCCATTTAATGCATATTAATATTGCATTCGAATTCAAGGTACAAACGACAGCAAAACTTTAGCTCAACAAAGTTGAATAGAGAGTCGTTATCTGACCAGATTTAAATAAATAATCAGTATACAAAAGCCTGTAAAAACAGGAAAATATAGTATCTGTTGTATACAAGTCCCATTTATTTATTTATAATAAGGAACACCAACAGCAAAATACGTAAAGCATTCACAATATTTAAAATAAGTTACTAAAGTTTTAATTTCAACGTGTACGCCAATTACGGTATACACAGCATTAACCACATCATTACAATTATTGATAAAATAAAATATATGATACTTAATTACATTGCAAAGATTATTTATGATATATTATACAGAGTGTGAGTTTGAACTGAGTGACTGAAAGTGATTGCTTGAAAATAACAGGAGAATCATTGAAAATGTCAATAGTGGGAATTTTTTTCAAAATTTCGTCGTACTGCCTATATATCCTAGCTATGGGATAATATATTCCCAAATTTGTTCTACGACTCTGCATGCTGAACAATTTGCCAATCCGGTATCGGGGTACTTGTAAGGGACGGCAATTCCGATTTCGCTAAGAAGGGAGGTGCTGTATACTTTATTGCTCAACATTTTATAAAAACATCAAATCCGCTCCCTGTTTTATTTCATACAGAGGGTCAAGATTGAAAAATGACTTCATTAAAATATAAAGCCACTTTGAATAATGGCAAATCATTTATGTATGTTAGAAACAGAAAGGGAGCCAGAATAGATCCCTGGGAACCCCATTTTTAATCGTGAACCAAATGATCTCACACCGTTTATATCGATAGTTTGAGTTCTGAAACTGAGGAACGACAATATTAGTTTTAGGTCAGAGTCTTTGATGCCATAGTAATTAAGCTTTGTTATCAACGCAATCAACAAATATAATTAATATGTAATAATGATAATAATATAAATTTTGACATTTCATATAATATTATTAATTAATAAAGAAATCAGTAAATGGAATTTAAAATAATTCTAATTCTTAATTCAACAATGTAAATGGCAAGAAATAAAAGGCTATTTTTATTTTATTTATTATAAACGCAATTAAATACCTAGGATAAGTCACAAAATACTCCAAGAGCATTCTATGACACCTCCCAAGCTTTGAATATATGTTTAAGAAGTGCTACACCGGCATCAGCAGTATAGTGACCTTTTGTAAAACAATATTGTTTAGTATGCAGTAATTTATTTAAATTAAAATAAGACTATAACTGTTTAAGAATTATTTTTCAAAGATTTTACTTAACGTCGGTAAATACCATTTCTAACACACCAATCATGAATTTTGTTCAAATCGGACTGCAGAAGATTAGTATCCACAATATTGTTAATAGTTTTGAATATTTTAATGTCATCGGCAAATACGGATATACCGCTTTGATCAATCACTTCAACTATGTAGTTGATAAAAACAGCAATGGTCCCAGATATGAACCCTGTGGCACATCAGACTCTGCAAAATATATATCGGACTCAAATCCATCAAAAACCACCGTCTGAAGTCTCTAGGATAGATATGATGAGAACCAGAGCAGAAATGACCCATACCTCGGAGTTTAGAGAACATGCATGACCTGGTGGTTAACTTTTCGTTTTTCATATCTTGAAAATGTTATTTTTCTAGTGTTGTCCAAACCTAAGTTTCTATGTGAATGCCCAGATATGACCAAATTATCCTAGTAATGTAATTATTATACTACAATGACGGGTACTAGTGTACCTGTGCCATAGACGTTTTATTAGGTTTTGATTTGATTATGAGTTGCTTTTAATCTTACGAAATATCTCTTATATGTACCATTAAATTTTGCCTTAGTATGCGACGGCCGTGTGTGACAAGTCGAATGTCACAGCATATTTTGTGTCAGTTATCTCTGACGTTCCACGACAACAAGGCGTGACGTATCTTCCGTCAGATACACCGACCCTTACTTGCGTTACTTTCCCATACTTACCCTAAAAGTGTAATATAATGTTCTATCGCTACACCCATCTATTGATCGTTAGAGTGCAAAAAGGCCAACTAGAATATTTAAACCTATTTTAATTGGGTTTTCGAGCAACCCAACTAATAGTCAAATCAGTGGATCTTATTATAAGTGCCTTAAAATATAGGTTATTAGCACCTTCAGAACACCACTATCCTTTGAACAATCTATCTGATCATGGAAGGCAACAGGGGACAATTTGTTGAACTAATAAACTAAAATCAATTGGTAATCGTGAGAAACTATAATTGAGATAAAATAATAAGAAATTTCAATTTGTAAACATTCAATAGCCATAAATATACAGTGAAGTAGTAGACATAACGTACGAAAAATGCTATAACAATTGTAAAAAATAGATAGGTATTTTTAAACCACCACCATTAAAAGTACACCTTGACTTAGCATTGGTTCTCAGTAGGCTTAACTCTCTGTGAGTCATTTTCTAGAAAATACTGATTTATTATATCAGCCACGTCCTTATTTTCAATAATTGTTACGTGGTTTCCTTCAAAGAAGTGAATAGTGACGCCTGTATCAGTAAACTTGTCTAAGCCATAGTTCTCTTCAACCACAAGATTTTGGGGATTATCTTTTGGACGCAGCAGTATTATACGGGATATGAGTTTCTTGACATCTTTTGTCTCGTAGTTCATGACTACCTTGAGTCTGTCATTGAGGTTGTTCACGACTGCCGCAAGGAATGTCTTCGAGTATTTGCTTTGCATTGGGGAAGATTCAATAGCGTATGTGACCCTTTCGTCGTAAGACTCTATTTCGTTGAGTTTAACCATCAGTGATTTGGTGATATTATTATTCGGTGTTACAAAATCTATAAAGTGACAGAGCAGGCTGTTTAGCAATTGAAACTCATTTTTGAAGCTGAGAGACATGGTCAAGATTGCATAGAGGAAATCTGGGGCACCGTCCAAGCAGAAAACAGTGCCTTTGTTGCCTTCACTTTCTAATTTAGCAGCTAGTTCGAGCGCTAACAATGTTCCGAAACTGTAACCGAGGATCCAGAAATTTGCACCTGCTATCAGTCGGGAGCATATTGTCTGGAAGGGCATAATATATTGTCAAAAATAGGTTAAAAAGTGGACAAAATGAATAGTATACGCTTAACTAAAATACAAAGTTTAAACTAAATCTTAAAATAACAAAATATTGACTGCATATAATCGTTGTACTTTCTGTAAGTTGCTTATCATAAAATCACAGAGAATTTCCTGTACCTGGTATAATCTATGGACCATCTGATGCAATGTTTCGTTCTTATGATCGACGCCCAACTGCAGGCCACACACTTTTATCTTGAGTCGTTTACATAGTGGCTCCAACATAGATACCGCACCTTCTATCCCTGGTAGCACGAATAAAATATTCTGCATCTCGTATATTGATTCTTCGCCCTAATAATATACGATAAATGTTATTAACAGTAGAACCCCGATTATACAAGCTCGCTTTATCCGAGGTCACGATTATCCGAGTTGCGTTAGTTAATACAGTATAGGTGGGGGCGGGACGTGTCCTCGCCTCATTCACTGCCTCGTTGCGCGAGTGGTGTTTGGATGTGTAAGTTGAACGTTTTTGTGTTATCCAACGCAACAACGCAAGAGATCGTATTAATTGTTCGAGAACGCAAGTGTTGTGAGTTCCGATGAAGAAATAATGTCGAAAAAAGTTTCTCACTCGGAAGCTTTAACTACGTTTAAAACTGCCGTAGAACTGTATGTATATTCATTTCTACCAATAAAAAAATATATACATTTTACATCTAGCGTTATCAGGGTTTTGGCGTTCTTAATTATCGAGGTTTAACGTCAGAGTAAATTTTATAATAGTCGAAATTTATATAATACAGATAATAAGGAAACTTACCTTCGAGGAGTAAATATGTACTAGGTTAACCTTTCCTAAATCTCTGTTTAACAATATGAATGATGACTATTACTAATTAATAACACTTTGAATTTAACTTAATATTGTGTGATAGGTTGTTTGAAATAGAAACACACTACACACTCCACTTGTCACTTCGACTGCGAAAACTAAAATAATAATTACAATCACTAATTCAATATGTAATTAGAGAAAAATTCTGTATCACGTCAACTGTGGCCACAAACACATGAATATATAAATTCTGTTTGCCATCACTTGCCAAATTTTTCTACTAAATCGATATCACCGCTTTCCATTTTCAAAAACAAAATATTATTTTTTACATGACTATATTATTTATGAAATAAAACCTGATAGCAGTCTGTAGGTTTGTTGGTCAAAGACACAACTTAAAATAAATACCATAGAGCTGGAAATGCTATTCGAACCTCGCTATGATGAAGGATTATTTGAGTTAGAGAAAAAAAAAAAAATAATTTATTACCTCTACGTCGTCATTGATCATGGTCTGCATGTATATAAAAGGTTCAGAGATAATATTCTCATCTCCAAAGTTATGCATGATCACGCGTAATCCAATTGTTTCATTAAAAGTATAATTGTTTGATTCCGCTGCTGCTTTGGTATACCGTTCTGACGTTGTTGCAGCCGCTTCCTTTTGAGCAGTCAACTCAAACAGCCTAAGGACAGTAAAATGATATTATTTTCAAAATCATATACAAAATAATTTGTCTAAAATATCAGGCTTTCTAAAATTTTAGGCTGGTATTCTATCATGAATTTGCTTATAACTATAAATTTGGTAGTCTTACAATATATTAGACTACCAAATTTTTGAATTAGACATTTAATATTCATAATGAAAAATGCTTAAAAAACCACTTTGGCCCTGGTACTCTGAGATGGGACTCGAACCCATGGCTTTCGCAATCCTTGAGACTGCTGTAGCCACTGAGCTAGCTACCCAGGACCTAACAGGACAAACATTTTTCAAGCACTTGTTACTTTTTCGCTACTACAGAGCGTATTTTCATCAATGTTCAGACAGTCTACCCAAACAGCCGAAAGAATGTTAAAGCATTGTTAATGCAAAATTGATCAAATATAATAATTAACCATCTAATGTTAAAAAATTATAAAAATCAATACACGCATTTTTTATTACTTCAGACATATGAAAAGCATGCCTGTTGAAAATTTATGGAATAATGTATGTGGAATAATGTAGCAGCCAAGGAACGACCACAACTGCTTTAATGAACATACAAAGGCAATGTCAGAAGTCTTAAAAACTGGCGAAAATGTATGAAAAGAATAATGAAAGCGGAATTGTCGAAAGATGTATGTAATTATCGTGCCTTGTTGTATTTGGTCTAATGATTAGAAAGCCATATGATAATCAAAGTCAAAAGATCCCTAAAAATATTAAAATTTATATAGTCTAAAACGTTTTATAAGTTTTTCTTGAAATAAACAAAGAAATATTTGTGCATTATTTTGGATTACAGAACCAAATGTTTCAGCAATAAGGACAACGATAACCAATTTTCACTTATTTTGTTAAGTTACTAAAAATATTATAATAAATAAAAGACACACATTTGTTAAATATGTCACAGATTATACAGGATTATGAATAATTAGACAGGATCCTTTTAAAGGGTCATAGGGGAGGTCATTTACAATTATTTTTACCTCACATTATGTATCCAAAAGTGAGCCATTATTGGGATAAATTGTATTTATTTTTTTCTTTAAAAAAGTAAATTATGGTCAGATTCTAATTTTGTTGACAGTTTTGGAGAGATAACATTACGTTCGTGATAAATAATAATAAAATCCAAATAGTTTTGACCCAAACAGACACTACAGAGTTTTAAATAAACAAAAAAAGTTTTTTATTGTTGTAAATTTGCAAACAAAAGTGCATTAAAAAAACTTTCGGATGTATAATATAATGTGGGATGAAAATAAATATTAATACCTCTCTACGACCTCTTAAAAGGATCCGGTCTAATTACCCATAATCCTGTATACTTAGAAAATGATATTTTTATTTTATTTCAAGAACATCCATAAAGTTTTGAATCCATTTATTTACGCTAACCATACCTATTTGGGTCACTGATTTCAGTTGTTACATACCTACCTAAATAAGAAGTAATTTAGCTGTAAAAGACGTACAGACAAACCATTAAGTTATTCTAAGTATAAGGGTTTATTGTTTCCGTTTTCTTGTTCGGGGACATAATATTATAGGGGTGGTTGTGATTCTTATTAATCACGAACACAGTCTTTTTTAAGAACATTTTTAGAGTAATTCTTCTGAGTAAGTGTTCACTACATTTGTCGTACCCGTAGTCTTAGCTCCTTGTCAGCGGCTGACGGATGACATCGCAATTTAGTAGTACCAAGAAAAGCACTTGAGGTTTAAAGTCTGTATGTTATAAGCCTCAGGACCCTTCAGTTAGTAATATTAGAATTATATCAATTTACCTTGTAAATGTGAGTGTTCTAATATCCTGTGCAGTACGGAATATTTCATATTCACGTTCCAGGGTTTGTTTTATCTCCACTGCCGTCACACTATCCATGCCCAATTCGGCAAGTGACACCTGCTGGGATATAGTCTTCAGGTCTTTAATACCTGATAAAAGAATTTCATCTTTAAATTAGTAAATTTTATTCGTACCTATACTATTATGCCCTTTATACAAAGTAAATGTACTAAAGAAGAAATAAAAAATTGAATGAATAATTTATTTAACATGAAAACTACACTATACAAAATTATAGAAATTAAAAAGAATACTAGGCAAACTACAAACATAACAAAACTTTAAATTAATCTACATTCTTAAAACTCGTAATATTCTATCATTGTCGCTGAAGTGTTCAAAAGGTCTCTGCGGTAGACTGCAGAGTCAGTTTTCAGCCGGTACCCGAGGTGATTGTATTAGATCGATGTCGGGTTTGTAAATGTTTTCTCACAAAATAGTTGTTGAAAGAGTTATTGTTCAAATAAAATTAACAAATGCCTGACTTTATTCTGTTAGGCATTCTCTACCAATCAACTGGAAAGTAACAGAGAATTTCATAAGATGGTGCATCAATAAAAAAAACGTAAAAAAACTTTTTTTTGTATGGAGGCTGGTACTTAATTCAAATTATCTCTAACTAAGCATAAAGTATACATTATTCGATAGAGGGTAAATAAACATTACTCATCATCATTTTATTTTATTTTTAGGCGCCACCAAATTGTTTATTTTCTGATTTGAACATCATTTGGTGGATATTTTAAAATATATGTAGCAACACATTAGTGCATTAAGAAAATATATGCCAACCCCATCCCTAAGTTACGTTTCAATTCATGCTGTGAATCAATCTATTTGGACAATGTGGAATTAATATTTTTATTTGCTATTAATTATTGTTATTTGAGATCTCTTAATCTCAAATACAGAGATATTTTAAATGAATCGAAGCTCGTCAACGCAGGTTTGGCCCGATTTGAGTCTATTCAGTGCATGGTTATTATAATTAACACATATTAAACAAATTATGAATTCAATTTTCACAATATTGATATATGATTCGTCTACTAGAGATGCTAAGTTATTAAAAGGTGCTTTGGAGTAATACACATAAAAGGCAAATTCAGGATGCCTGAAAGTGACGAATTATCAACAAATCAGGCATTTTGTGCCGGTAAAGTTGACTTTTAAACAGGCTTTTACTGGATAAAAAATATTTTAATTACAACAAACATATTGCTTTTTGTTAAATTTCATTATCGGAATTTCCCCACTTTCGTAATCACCCCAAAGTTCCCTACCGAAAGCTAGGCTGTGGACAAAGAACCCTTTGCGTTTGTTTTAATTTTCTGCACTTTATGTTTTTCTAATGAGTTTTATGGCTGTGCATACTATTGTTTCTAGTCAAATTGTACCCATTTTTTTAACTTAATTCTCTAAAACGAGGGAACTTTTAGACCTGAAACTTTGATGAATGATAAAGGATTGAATCTAGATGCTATAATAATTTTCTTTATAGTGGTTAGATTTTTTTGGTATAAAGTATCAAAAAAAAAACATTCTCCTTTCAATAGGATCGATCTACCTTACAATACACAAAAGTAATATTTCTTAATCATTAAGATGTGTTCAATATATTTCTTACCCATTATTTGAGCTATAGTATCCACTATGTTCCCGCTGCTAGATACTCCAGTTTTTTTCTCAGCAACAACGATGGATGATACTACAGGCGCGTCTTGCTTTAGGAATTTGTCGAGGGTAAGTAAACACGAGGAGATAGTCTGCTGAGAGGTATTAGCAATCTCTATTTGGGTATTTTCCTTTTGCATGTCAGCGACAATTCCAACCTAAATATGTCAATTGTTAGCATAACACTTACTTAATTTTATTTAAGTCCCCGAATAAATTAATACTAAGTTATGCTATTTATTAGTGCATACTAGTTATGAGTATATGTGCTAATTCTATTACAAATACTGTTTTCATGCCCATATCAATTAATAAATCAAATCAGTTAAGTAGTATTATAGTCAAATCAACATTTTTGTAAAACAAGCATTTATTTATGGGCACTAAAACGTAAATAAATAAATTCCAAACATTTAAATACCTATAATCAAAATTCTCTCTAACAGTAATTGACTTGAAAAGCTTTTTTTTTTTGGTTGGCAAACACTTGACCACAGATCACCTGATGGTAAGCAATGCTGTGGTCTAAGATGATGTCTAAGATGGAGCGTGCTTGCCTAGAAGGAACCGATTCACTCTTGACTTGAAGAGTCCCAGATTGTATTTGCCCGAAAACAGCGAGTCCGGTAGCGAATTCCACAGCTTCGCAGTTCGCACGATGAATGTAGAGGCGAATCATTTGGTGCGAGTTTGGGAATTTCCACAGTAAAGCGGTGACGCTTTCCAGTACCCCTGGTTGTACGATAATAAAAAGGGGATGATGGAATTAAGTCGTGTAATTCCGATGCACACTCGCCGAAATGTAACCGATAGAAGACCGATAGACCAGCGACTTTATCGCTGCAAAGACTTAGTACTCTCTTTTTCCAAAGAGCGGCGCCTCTTGGTGCGCCTCTCGATGGTCTCCAACGCTTCAAGCTGGTATTTGTCAGAACCATCCAAAGGTGCGAGCAGTATTCTATGCAGGACCGCACTTGCGCTTGATATAGTATAAGCAGCTATTCCGGCGTGAAGTACCTTCGCACCTTCGAGAGTATACCGAGCTTCTTCGCTGCTAGCTGCGCTTTAGACTCAATGTATGAGCCAAAATTGAGCGTTAAAGATAAAGTCACACCAAGAAGGTCAAGGTGGTCCGTGACCGGTACGGTTACATCCCGGAATGCGGGGGTCAGCTCAAACGGCCTCCTTTTCTCCTCTAAAAGGAGGCTGGCTCCGAATTTATTAGCTTGTACCGCTTATAAATTCGGAGACGAGGAAATACACATATTTTTACGCGCTGCAAGCTTTTCAAGTCAATTTATGTTAGTTTTTTTTTATCAAAACTAATTTAAATTATTACCAATGATGGGTAGTCGTGACCTTTAAAAAATATGTGACAAGTCAATCAATATACGGACAGAGGACATGATTATTGAGTTTCTAATATCTCTAGTTAAAATAAATGGGCGTTAAAGGAGTTTTGGTTTAATAGTTATTTTTTAATATTCATTAGATTGAAACGTTCAGTCTTTGTTGAAACTCCTACTATTATAACAGCTTTGGAAGGCACGTTAAGGAGCTTAAAGGTTCTGCTATTTATAAGTAACGTGGACTGCTATTTATAATAATGAAATCATGACAGGTCTTTACTGAAAATGATTTGATTCTTAATGAGAGTCCTAGTGGTCCTCGAATCAAATAACGAAAACCGTATAATTTTCAACTAATCATCAAGATTCGTATCATATAACGAATAAATGATTTATCTATCTTTACACCTACGTCTCCTATAGCACCCCATTGGACAGCCAGTGCTGGTAAGCCAAGCTTCTTCCTCGATTCACAGAGCCTCTCCATCACCGAGTTGGAGAAACCATAATTAGTCTGTCCAGCATTCCCACGACCACAGGAAACCGATGAGAAAACTACGAAATTTCTGATACGCAACAGAACAACAAAATGAAATAAGAAACACCATTCAGATCTTCTGATGATTTAAAACAGTTCTGATATAAATTCGCTACATGCAAAGAACTATTAAAGGTAAGACATATATGTCTCCTAAATGAATCCCAACTTATGCTGATAGAAAGCAAAAGAATCAGGATGCATTCCAAAATTTACAAACGTAGGTCTTACAATGATCCGTCATTGTAATCAGGTAAGAGATAGGTATCTAAATTATTAGTTACTTAAAGTTATAAACGAGAATTTAATGTAATGAAAGTTAGTACTTATACAAAAATATATTTTAATTCTCAGATATTGAAGAATAAGTAAGTAACTAAATTATATACTTCTTTATATATATTCATTTAAAGATTTTATAAGTTAATTTGTTTAGCTTAAACTAAGCAAGTAGCACAGGTAGATCATTAACACATATAAGAACACATGGGGCTCATATTTAAGTTAGATTTTTTAATATACCCTGTATTTACCTTAATTCCGGACAATGCATTTTGGAAAATTTGTCCAAATGCATAGTTGCAAGTGCTTTCGGTTCAAAAGAACTCTTGAAAGTTTCTGCAGTTTGGTTTTGGAAGATAGAATCTTTCAGTACGACGGCGAGGTTAAATATGGCGTCCACGTGCCCCATAGACTTGGCCATTAGAAGCATTTCTTCACAACCGCGTTCAGTAGTTATATCATGAGTAGATATTCTGACGTCAGCACCGTAGCCAGTCCAAGCTCTGATGAAAGTAATTGACAATGCCCAAAGAACTTACAATAGTAAACAATAAGGTTGGTTAAACGACATGTTGAATGTATATTGAGGTGTCTTTAATAAATGGAATCTTATAAATTTTATTCTACAATCGGAGTGCTGATTAGCATTTTGTGTTGCAGGGGAAAAGTATTATTAACACTGTTCCTGTCAATGCATTAAACAGGTTGCAGGGTGGAGTGTAGCGCTCTCAATTTACATGGACCGTTTCGATGAATCCACACTTTTGGAGGAATGGAACACTGATAAGATATTAATCAAGTTAATATAGAATGTTTAATGTCTTTTTATATAAATATCTCATTGAGGAAGCTGTTCAGGTTTAATTAAGATTAAGATCATCAAAGCCAAGGCAAATGGTAAAACTTCTTCAAACAAAATTTTATTATTTTGAGACAATTCAACTTTCAATGGAAGAAAAACCCACATGGCAAGAAAAGTAAGAGTACGAGACAATCAAGCCGTATATAGTAAATTCGGTCCTTACCTGATTCTGCTGGACTGATATCCATTGGCGATTCCCTTGCGGGAAGTGAGGACTAATTTCCTAGCGCCTCTAAGAATCAGCCAATCCGCGAGCTCTAGGCCAAAACCTCCGAGACCTCCCACTATCGCATACACAAAATCTTCATTGCATGTATATCTAGAAAAAAAAAGTATTCTGAGAATTATTTTAAATCCGAATAACAATAAGGTAATTTGCTATCGGCAACTTTTGTTTATTTTTAATAACAACGATAAGTTTATCTGTTAATTAAAACATTGACGGATGCTATCATAGAAGTAAAGCTAGTATCTAAATATTTTTTTACACCTGATTATTCAAATTATAAGATTTTTATTTCTAGAAATATAATGGCAACTTTATTTGGATTCGTCTATGTATGTATATTCAGGTATCAAAGGGTTACAATTACATCAAAAGTTATTTTTACTTCTTTCGCACTAAAAAAAATAAAAAATAACTCGTTCGCTATCATAAATGGACCGCTATAATAGATTTAGAATGGAATCATTATAGCAATTGTGTATTTTTAAGCGAACCATTTGATTTGTTACGCATATCACGGAAGCTTATAAAAGAATAACTATACTCTGCCACCTTAAACCATCCACCATATTAGATTTAAAATTATATTACTTAACTGACCATGACCATTTTCATCTAAACTAAACCTTAAGCAAAATTTCAATTAATCAGGTCAGGATAATTGCTTAAAAATTCAGTTCCAAGATTTGGCAAATATCAAATCTGCATCTGTCGATAATAATAACTTGTTTATATAAAAACTATACATAAAGCTAAAGATTTGCAACAACAGAACAGAAACTACCTTGGTATAGCGTAGATCGGCATATTGGTGGGTTTCACTGACCCACCGCGTTCCTTATCTCGAATCTTTATGATGATCTAGTATTTAAAACAAAATTTATATAACAAACATTATCCGTTAAAAATTGAAGGAAATAACTTTAAATTTTAAATCAAGGCCTTTAAATTGATAAACATAAATATAAATAAAGAAAAAAAAACACTTTTCTTTCGAGTGGCACTACATATCATTAATCTATTTTTACTATATTATAAACATGAAAGATTTTATTTATAATATGTAATAATATTAATTTATTCATAAAATCAACAAAGCTCCAATGGTTATGGTCGCTTAATATTAATTATATTTTGTCACTTAATTCTTTAGATATTAGATAACAACCAAGCAACCCTCGCACTCAGAGAATAGTAATTTTTTTATCTACCAACTGGCTCCCGCTATTGAAAGTGTCATTCCTTATCTGTGCGAGGCAAAGAGTGTACGCTCCCTCCGCTTAAAATTGATAAATTCTACAACTGTTAAATAATAATTGCGAAACAAATTGCCGAAGAATAATAGATGCGATGTCGAAAGAAACTTCGTAATAGATCACTTTTCTTCGATAAATAGATCACGATCTTTTCTTTGGAATCCAATTCAGATAATCATAATTCTGGTGAGTGGCTATATTTTAAGATATAATGTTATGAAACAAGTATAAATAAACTAAAAGAGGGTAATTTCAATTAAATAATTTGTTTACAATAAATAAAAAATAAAAAGGGACGAGGTAACTGGTGAGGTAAGTGAGTGAGAGTGAAAGAGTGACAGTGTAGGTGATCTGGTGGTGGGTCAGTGGTGAAGTTCCGTTCCGTCATCGCAGAAATAGCCATCGTCAGCATAGGTGATATGGTGATGGGGCACAGGTCAGCGGTGAAGTTCCGTTCCGTCGGCGCAGAAATAGTGATTGTCAACGCAAGGTGATGGGGCTTGGGCCAGCGGCGAAGTTCCGGAGCACCTTCTCGACGAAGCGTCTCTCCATGTGTCGAGCAGATGGTTCTTTCGGTAGCTCAGAACGGAACAGCAGCTCGGGCCTCCAGATGAAGACTCGTAGACAGCTTCAGGAGAAAATATTTCCGTCCAAGTTTGAAGGTGGTGAAGGAGGTTTAGATTTATTGAGGTTTAATTACGGCCAAAATTGTTTCAAATGACTTTGAGACCGTAACTTTTGAAGAGTTTATATTACTGAATTTTAATGGTTACAGGTATAAAATTCAAGGTATAGAATTATAGAATGGAAAAAGTTAAGAATATAAATGGAATAAAACTAAATAGTTAATCGATATGAACATAATTAGAGATATGCATCTAAGGAATGAAAACGATACAAAAGGTTAGTTACGACAACAAATATCAGTTTTAAAAGTGTTAACGTAATAAGTAACAAAATAATGAGTAATTTTACTCACTTTAAGCTCAGTCCAAAGGATGCAAACTCTCTCGTTTATTAAAACATCTAACATTTTAATATCTGAAGTTAGTAACGGGGCTGAAATATTGATAATAAATATTATCAAAACATCAGCCCCAGGTTTGATTAAGATATGACTTTAGAAGATTATCTTTTTGTAATAAATTCTTGAAGGGCAGAAACTTTGTCTAGATTATTTTTGACCTTTTGACGACCATATAAATGTGCCAGTTCACAGTCACTAAACAGCTGGATTAAAGATGTACTTGCCCTCAGCGCAGAAGACGTTGCGGTGTTCATAATATACGTTAATTATTTATGAATGACACTTCCAATAGCGGAAGCAGTAGGTAAACAAAAAAAAAAATTCTGTAGCGTGCGAGGGACTGCGTTGTAAATGTTATATCTTCGAATAAAGCGACTCATTAATATTAATTGAACTTCATACAATTAAATTCGTTTGATATATATATATATATAATAGTTTAAGCAGATGTATCGTTTCATCAAACATGTAATGCTATTATAAATATTAAATGCCTAACTAAGCACTGGTTTAGATTGGCAACATTTGTCTATAATTTGGATGCTTCAGTTCTTCTTACTTTTGTTTGTTTAGCCTATTTGAGCTAACACAATTCCACGAATGTCACGTTAGTGGCTTTTATACGTAAAATTCAAAAATAAAATGTATAATTTTTAATCATATGTGGTATTTAAACGAACATCCAAGACATCAATGTTGTCTATCAAGTCCAAAAATTCAAACAAACCCATGGTTTATATCTGAATTACTTTGTGTAAGAGTATCTATGTTTCCAATCAACTAAGTTGCTGAAGGCGCTAAATGGTTTCTAGTCAATTTTCACCTTAGTCAATGCCTAATTGATTATAGGCAAACCATTTAACTCGCGGGACGCCTGCGGGGCTATAGGTAGGTGGGCGCGGAGGAACTCACAGATGTTTCGGAGGTGAAGAAGCGCGCGCGCGGCAGGGAGCACAAGTGACGTTTTTCAGTACGCTAGCGGCTCTCGCGGCGTGCAGTCGGCTTTTTGGTTACGGACGCTCGACACAAGATCTATACGAGGTTATTTTTCCTGAGATATTTTCCAAGATGAACGCTGAAGGACGGTCCAAAATTTTTGCTAAAAAAATTAACAAGCAAGCTAAACAATTAGTATACAATGTTTATTCTTTCTTTCAACAAAGAAAACAAGATCAAACTTCCACGTAATTTTTACAAGATGTAAACCTGCACAAAATCGTCGCCCAAGCAACGCAAATATCACTGTCTACTGTGAGTAAAATCATCAAAGAAGGAAATGATCTGAAACGCGACCAGAGAAGTGTAGAATTTAAATCCCCAAGAAGTAAAAAACAGAACCGAACTAAAAGAATTGAAATAGATAATTTTACTGAAGGTGTCATCAGACGAAAAATAACTCAATTTTATACTATATACAAAAGGTACCCACATTGAAAACACTAAATGCTAAACTTAAAGAAGAAGGAATTTTAAACTGTGGTCGAGAATATTTGAGACAGTTCCTGCATAAACTTGGTTTTAAATTTAAAAAATGTCAGTCAAAAAGAAAGCTGCTTGTTGAGCAACCAAATATAATTTCTTGGAGATGGAGATATCTAAACGCGATAAAAAAACATCGACGAGACAAAAGATCTATTGTTTATCTTGATGAGACAAACGTAAATGCGTCTTTAAATGTTCCATCGTGTTGGCAATCTGCAAAAGAACGTGGAGTGCTGTCACATATTGGCAAAGGGCCGAGATTCATTATTGTACATGCAGGTGGACAAGCTGGTTTTGTAGAAGGAGCTCTATTAATTTTTAAATCGAAAAGTAAAACCGGAGATTATCATAATGATATGAATTTTGAAAATTTTAATAAATTGACCAAAGAGAAATTATTGCCAAATTTACCTCCAAGATCTGTAATCGTTATGGATAACGCTGCCTATCACTCAGTGCAGGAAGATAAAAAGCCAACGATGACCAACACAAAGGCTAACATGCAGGCCTGGCTGCAAAGACATAATGTCGAATTTGATAATTCCTTAAGAAAATGTGACTTGCTTAAGCTGATTAAGCAGAATGGTTCTGAAAATAATTATAAGATTGATGAATTGCTCAAAGCTGCGGGTCACGAAGTATTAAGACTTCCCCCCTACCACCCAGACTTAAATCCTATTGAGTTGGTTTGGGGGGATATCAAAGGTCAACTGGCAAGAAACGAACTGGACAGTAATTTAGATAAAAAGAAGATTGCACTATACTCAATACTCAATACTCAAATGTTTATTGCAAAACCATAGTGTTACATTGATGTTACAAAAATAATATTAGTATCAAACTATGGACCCTGTCGGGCACAGCAATACTTTATAGAGAGGATACATATCAAAAATAAAATAAGTGGTCTGGCAATTTAATAATAATCATAAAGTTAATCAATTATCACTAACAGTCATTCAAATTCATCAACAATATAATATACATATAAATAAAATAAGACAAATTTCTAAATTTGATATTATTCTGTAATATTATCACTTGTATGAAATTTATTTGTAAATAATTAATTTAATATTGTTTATAAAATAAAATGTAATTTAATATTCATATTACTACTACATCGTCAAAAAATAAAATAAAATGGTAAGTTTAATAATTATAAATAATAGTCAGATAATGTTTTCAAAAATACAAATCAAAACTAGCCAATTTCATATTATTTGTATAAAATTGATTGATTCACGTGTAATTAATTTAATATTGTTGTTATAATTTAAAATATAATTTGTTTCTTTAAAATTTGCTAATTTATGTCATTTGGCATTATTATTATTATTATTATCTAAAATTGATCTATTGAGGCATTTTTAATTCAAGATTTCATTTATTGTACATTTTTTATTTTCCTGTAATTGCTTTATTACTTCCATTATTCCAATCATTAATTTAAAACTATATTATTTATTGCTATTAAAATTTTAACTCCATTAAAGTTTTTTATTGAATTGTCCGATTATTTTCATTATATTAATTTGCAAACGTAATAATATGTACTCATTTTATGTAGTAATGTTTTTAATATTGTCGTCTAGATATTCATTTTGACTGTAATAGCTTTTGCAAATTAGAAATCGTTTTAATTTATTAATAAAAGAGTTATGGGACAGTTCATTCTTTATTGAATCTGGTAGTTTGTTATATATTTTAATGGACATGACCAATGGACCAGTCGAGTGCATGTTTAGGCGGGAACATGGTAAGTTTAATCTGTTTTTATGTCTAAGATCATATTTGGAATATATTCTACGTGTAGTATAAAATTCAGGATATTTGCGAACGAATTTGCAGACTTCATATATGTATATGCACGGTAAGGTTAAAATTTCAAATTTTTGGAAATAAGGCCTACAAGAGATAGTTTCATCAATATTTGCTATGATTCTAATTAATTTTTTTTGTAAAATAAAAGCAGAAGGTGCTTCAGTGCTGTTTCCCCACAATGTTATACCATAACTCAGCCAAGAGTATGCATAAGCGTAATAAGTCACTACAGCTGTGGACAAGTCTGTCGTCTTTTTGATTTCTCGAAGGGCATACGAGAATCGCGATAACTTATCACGTAATTTCTTAATATGGGGTTTCCAATTTATATGGGTATCTATTGTTAAACCGAGCAAGGTAACCTCGTTCACAACCTCTACTTGTATATTCTCTAAACTAAAATTTATGCTTAAAACTAGAGCAATTATTCAACGAATTTCCAGCAGAAAAATGGGCAGCATGTGACAGTCATGTCCAAAAAATTGAAGATGAGTATTGTAGTTACGATGGACTACTCGATAATGCTATGGATCAAATAATAATCAATTTACAAGATGACTCGGATTCGTCCAACTGGACAGAAGAAGAAACAGAAGATGATTCAAGTGTCATGGACATCAGTAATATTGGGAAGGCAATGGAACTGAGCCATACATCCTAATCTACTTACCATCTTACTAATATAAGACTACGCTAATGTCTTCGTATTCGTAAAGGGAAGCCGGTGATAATCGAACAACTTGAATTAATATCAAAGAAAAAATATATATTGCATAAATAATATAAATATTAAAATAAATAAATAAATATGTTCCAAAATAAGTAAATATGTTCCAAAAACATTTACATTTATTTGATATGTAAGTGAAATGAAATGACAAAGTTTATTATTTATTTTGCATCCGAGTAAGATATCTCGCGATTTATCTCGAAACAAGTCATTACGTGTGTACCGATACCCGCGCCCGCCTACCTCTTACCCCGCAGGCGTCCCGCGAGTTAAATGGTTTGGCTATAGAAAACGAGCAGTAGTATACATTGCCTTAAAAATTATGTTAGGTGATTATTTTTATGCTTCGAATAGGTTCCGAAATTACTGGACCGATTTTAAATATGCTATCACCTACGGAAAATTACCTACACGATACTCGGGTGATAAATGATATCATAATCCCAGAACCACTCTGCCCCAACGGCCATCGATTCTTCTATTCTGTTATATTACCTAAAGACTAGTATAGTTTTAATTTTCGAGCTATAATTACCTTGCCGATGTGTTTTTCAGCAGCCATGTATCGGAATGCAGACTCCAATTGGTTCTTCTCAAACGTACAATAGGTTAGAGGACGCACGGAACCACTCTCGATACCAGACAGAAGGAGGTTTTGGAATCTCTAAAAGACCATCAGAGTGCGTAAATAACATATCTGTTTAGCTATGGCTTATTTTATCACTATTAATTAACATTTGTGAACTTAGGTACACCATCCTTTTAATCATCTCCGGGAGTCTATATGAGTCCGGGAGTCCAACCCTCACTGTCTATTTAACATTAAAGAATTTCTTTTTTGTCTACAATATATGAAAAACCTTTTTTTTTTTAAGGAAAAATGCGTTATACATAGCTTACCATTTTAGCGAGGGGTAGTTTTGTAGTGAGCTAATTCAGCGGACTAGGTTGTCCACCCACTTGAATTTTGAAAGTTTACTCTCTGTACTTCGAAGTAAGATTCAGAAAACCACGACTGAATCGCAAGGGCACTCACCCACAGATATATGTTTTCTATTAATATAAATCTTACTAGACTATAAACAAGTGCAATATGAGCTTTCGTAAGGAGTAAATAATGACTACTTATCATATAGTTTATTGTACGGACCTGCTTTAAATCGTCACTTTGATCGAATATGTAGTTCAACATAATCCCGTGGAAGGAGATTTCCTTAAGGAAGCAGCACATGTTGATGGCTGTGTTTTTACTGATATCATACACGCCGATCTCCAAGAACCGGCCGCGGTAACAGAGGCAGCGCATTGATGCCTGGAGGTAAGTAAAAAAAAAACTTTTGAAAGAGTCGGTAAATAGGTCAGTTGCAGATAGTTTTTAAGAGACATTTTGTAATAAACATGATATTAGGAATTAACAAAACAAAGATCTATTGACACAAAATCTTATTGCAAGATAAGATGTTCAAAATATATATACCGTATGTACTTTGTCATAAAATAGTAACTACCATTAAACTATTTACTAAATACTTAAATACGAGTAACAACAAGTGCATACCCAATTAAAATATTATTAAGAATATTTAGGTTGCGATTTTTTCATTAATTATCTATGATGGTCAGTTACTAGGTACAACCATTAAAATTATATAGATAGATTTACGTATTACAAAATACAAAACAATTAAAACAAAAATCGACTGTAAAACCCATTGTGTAAATTTCAATTCAATTAAGTGTCAGTCTTACATGTAATTCCTCGTCGGAGAGGGAGTTGAGCACCATGTCTACTCCCTTGCCTTTAGTCTCGCGATGGACCATGTCTTCAAATGAGGAATCACGTGAGTTACCAATGTGACTGTCTGTAGTTCATAAATATAAAGATTTTTTATTCGATCTGTACAAAAAGTATTTTCTGTAAACTAAAATCAAAAGTACTTTGAGTAAGTCACACACTGTACCTATGACCTGGAGGATATCGTTGTTTTTTAAGTTAATAGAGATTAACTGCACTGATTTGGACCAGTGAAAAGAATTGTAAATGGAAAAATGACAAACAAAATAAGAAAAAACTTAATCCTATGAAAATTTAAGATTTCTTTGTCAGATTTATAGAAAATAATAAAATGCGAAGAACATTAAATTTACAGGATGCTTACGCTGAATGATTACTCCGATTTCATAGAAGATATCTGAATAATTTTTTTCAGATATCTTCTATGAAATCGGAATTTTTAAATAACCGGGTTCACCTAGGGTCAGATATAAGGCGATGGCGTTGCCAAAAGAATGGGCTCCCTTGGGGCAGTGTGCTGGCTCCTATGCTTTTCAACATTTATACTAACGACCAGCCGCTGTACCCTATCGTGTCTCGCTTTCTGTATGCTGATGACCTGGTCCTAACCTCAAAAGCAAGATCATTTGAGGAAGTTGAGGCAAATCTGGCTGAGGCACTTGAAGTCCTTGACCAATATTATGAGGCGAATGCTTTGAAGTCGAACCCAGCCAAGACTCAGTTATGTCTCTTTCATCTACATAATCTACAGGCGGGACGTTAGATGGATATTGTGTGGCGTGGGATCCATATAGCTCACGACAACCCTCGATAGGTCGCTAACTTTCAAGAAGAATTGTCAAAATGTGAAACAGAAGGTATTTGCTCGAAATAATCTCCTGAAAAAACTGACGACAACCCACTGAGGTGCGTCGCTTAAGGGTTTTGCGGACGACTGGACTAGCGCTCAGTTTCTCCGCAGGAGAGTATGCGTGTCCTGTTTGGAACCGATCTGTCCACGCAAGACAGGTGGATGCAGCACTAAACGACACATGCCGCATTATAACAAGTTGTCTAGATCGACTCCCGTGCAAATGCTGTACCCGCTGGCTGGAATCGCTCCACCATATGTTCGCAGGGCCATAGCTACTTTCCACTTTCCATAATCATATAACTCATAATTGTCAAGGATTCTTATCGCCATTTAGGCTTTGTATTACGAAATGCCAAAGACTTTCAAAATCCTCAGGTCTTTAAAACATTATGCAATACTTTGGTTAGAAGCAAGCTTGAAACGAGTGCTTGCGTTTGGAACCCACATCATGTCACCTATGCGCAGATGCTCGAGAGGGTCCAAAAAGCCTTCTTGAGAGCATTTTATAGGAAATTCTACGGGTATTATCCGTCTCGTTATCCGACCTAGTTTCTGCTCGGCCATCTCGGCTACAATTCCCTGGAGGTAAGAAGATTGTTGGATCAGCTTAGCATTTGCCTCAATACTTTAAAAGGTTCTGTCGATTCCCTCTTCTTACACAATCTGCTGTGTGTAATCTGTGTCCCTGACCGACCGGAACTCCCACCCGTCAGAAGGCGCGGCTGCAGTCGGCAACATAATTTGTTTCATGTTGATAGCGGCCGTATCTTAGCACGTGCAATGTTGCCCTTAGTTAGGCCTTGCGTCACCTCAATGCACTTCGTGACGCCAACACTGATTTCGATTTTTTGTTTGACAATTGGGAAAATATCAAGCGGCAATTATTGACGTACTGTGAGAGTGTAAGGGACCAATGGAGTAACTCTGGTAACTCTGACAATGAAGATAGTGACTAGTATTATTTAATGTAATTGTTAATTTATTGACCTATTTTATTTATGACTTACTTATTTTATGTTTGATAAATTTTAATTATTTTAATAATGAATGTGAATTGTTAATTTTATTCTCTTTTGTAATGTGTGATAATTGTAACTGATGTACGTCGTTTTTATCACAATAATAATAAATAAATAGCAAGCTCCATCGATAGGGCCAAGCTTGATTCCGACCCGCGGCACCCTATGCATCGCTATTTGTCTGTCCCTCAAAGGCTGAAGAGTCGCAAAAGATTCTACAAATGCACTGCGCCTATCAACTCCGAGGCCTCTTTAGCTAGGCGTGAACTGTGGTTGGGTTCCGCTCTTTTACCTTCCCTGTTTGTGCCAATCCAGGAGAAACTCCTGCCTGGCTATGACCTCCCCAGACCCGTGTGGAAATATTTAAATAGACTCCGCACTCAGGTCGGCCGGAGTAAAGACAATCAGTCCAGGTGGGGTTTTACTAATACTGCAGACCTTGCGTACAGGTGTGGTACTACACCTCAGACCACTCCACACCTGTTGTTGATGTTGCTCCACTTGCCCCTACACCTGTACGCAGGAGGATCTCATGACGGCTGCAGATAGCGCCGTAAAAGTGGCGGAGTTCTGTGCCGGTAACATTAGTTTTGGTTGCCATTGACACGAAAGAAGAAGAAGAATAGGAGATATCTATACCCATATTGTAAAGAGGTAAAGAATCTCACTTAATTTGTTTATTTATTTATTTGTTCAGAAATATTGATCCAAAAATAAAAATAATTTCCCTAAAGGGAAGCTATATCATACATGGGTGACAGCCTATAAATTACGCGGCCGAAGTCGCAGGAACATCTAATTTATAATACGAGTTTTATATCTACGGTCCAAGAGTACCTTTTAATTGGGGAAAAAGTTTCTTGATGAATGCCCTCTTTTCAGCGTTTCCTACAGTAGTGAACACTTCGCAGCCGTAGTGAAGAGCTACATTGATAGCGGCCTGACCCACGTCCCCGGACCCAGCGTGGATCAGTATAGACTCACCATGCTGTAGCCGCCCTATCATCACCTGGTACGATGTTATCCAAAAAAACAAATTGTTCAAATATAATATTGGGCATACATATTAACTCTGATCACAGCAAAATTTGGTAGTAATACAATTTCTGTAACTGATCTAGATTCAAATTATTAAATTATTTAATCTCAAACATCCTTTTAGTCTTATAGTCCTCGCTCACGTAGCTTTCAAGGATTAATGACAGATCCGTTTATTATAATCATACCAAGAATGACTATTTTCTATGCGTTAATACTCCATATTTAATGTAGTTAAATCGACGCTATTCACCATTGAATAGTAAACAGTGCCATAAGCGACGGGTACTGTGGCTGCTTCCTCAAAGCTCCATTCCTCGGGGATGCACCACATTAAAGCCTTATCGCTCTCCACTACATTGGCTAATCCTTGTCTAGGAACTATTGCCATAACGCGGGAACCACTGGAAATAGAGTAAGCATGATAATAATGTCAAGAAAAGAGTATTTACAGTAGATGTCACTTAAACTACTAAACACTATTCGTAATTCGATAGTTAGCTCATAACTTACTTGGGTGTCCTGCCGGCTACTTCTAACCCTTGTACACATTCCTGGGCAAGTCTGCCGCGAGCCACCACGTCCACAGTCATACGACCCGTCGCCATCATCACGTCACGGAAGTTCAATGCGGAAGAATATACCTATATTACGTGCTAAACATTAGTTATATGTTCTTTATATAAATCAGTGCAAAAATTTTCCGAGATTAATAGGGTCTGTCGATATAATGAATGTTTTACATGTAATTATACGATCAATTTTAGAAGACATAAAAAATGAATGCATTGAAAACTTTAAAATATTAAACAGTAACATATTGATCTGTTCAATTAAGTAAAATATTTGTCATATTTTTTTTCTCCAATGCAAATTCCTGTTATCGGTAGCTTAATTTTAACTCACATGTATCATAACGCTATCTGGGTTCTTGAAGACTTGATCAGGTTTAATTGGACCTTCGAGCCACCTTAAAGAGGAGAGATCGCCGATAGTGGTAGTGTTGACGAAAGCATGATTGACTCGTACTATGTCCAAATCACCGAGAAGAAGATGACGGTATGTTCCCCACTGATCCTGAAAGAGGCATTTATAATTAATAATATAACGTCTTATCACATTAATGATAGAAAACGTATTAGCTAAAGAGGAAATGACATTTAATTATTTCAGTATATAGAAAATATAAAAGTGGAAACTACACCAATGACTGTTATCCAAAAATTTGTAGCAAGAGAGTTACCAGCAGAAACAAGTGGTAATACTTTACAGACTTATAAATAACTTACATCTTGAAAAATGTTGATGGACAAATCTTTATTTAGCTGTTTCTTATATATCTCCAAATCTGGATTGAAGTGTGGTGCTGAGGAATCAGCGATAAGCATACCGCATACAATTTCTCCGCCAGGTTCTCGTCGCAAACAGTTCACAAGACCTAATAAACCATTTATGTGCTCATTTTCAGAGTAAAGAACAACCTTTTCACTTTTTTTAAGCACTTCTTTAACTTTGTCTATCCATGAGAAGGAGAGGTCATCTGCCGTGATCTTGACAAATTTAGCAGGTTTCGTTTTCACTTTCTTCCTCAAAAGAATAATGTATTCCATGCCAGTGTCATGAATGGAGACAATGTCATATTTATCAGAGGAAGGATTTGGGTTGGGTCGCTCTTTTTCTCTACTAATGATAAAGCATTTTTCACGTAGTGTTGTTATACCTTTTTGAAGAACCTGCAGTCGTATACAACAAAAACTGAATTTTGTGCAATTGCAAATACTTTGGAAAAATTGTTTATTAGTATAAAAAATGTGATTGTTCGAAAATGTATGGATGATATAATAAAGAGAACAAAATAAACAGCTTATAAATATGCACTTACTTTATCTCTTTTTAGAAGATTGGCTCCGATAAATACAACGGCGTTTAATTCTCCTGAAAGCTTTATGTTTTCAACAGTGATACTAGTAGGCAGATTTTCATACGTTTTTTCAGAAATAACTAACAACTCAACTTGCATCAGCGGCATGTCTTCCAAAACTTCTGCCACTGTCGTGATGATTGGTTCCAGGTTATTTTTTTTATATTCTTCGTCAACGTACTCAATGGTTTTAATTTTGAAAGTTTGTATGTTCTCCAGAACAAGTTGTAGATTTGCTCGGATAGCATCTTCTATCTATATTGAAAAATATCAGTGTTTCAATGCAAATACTGATTAGGAATAAAATTATGTTTTTAGTAAAATAATTGAATACTTTTCATTTCTAAAGCTTAGACTGCAGGCACCAGCCGTGTAGCTAGTCGATTACTACTTATTAACAGCTCTTATCGTATCTAACTAATATTATAAAGACTTAAGAAGTAGAAGTAATAACAAAGCGTTTCTTGGTTTGATTGTTTGTTACTTCTTTAGGCAAAAACTACTGAATGGATTTCGTTACAATTTATTATACAGATAATTATTAGCCTGGATTAAGATATAGGTTTCATTATAGTTTTCGCTACTGGGAAAATAATACCGGCCAACTGTGACATTTCTACTTCATGATGATTATAGGCTTAGGTACTCTTATATTGCAACAACACCATGCCAATAAAATAATAACATTATTATCATTATTGTATAGTGACCAAAGTAAACAAGATGCTCCATTTTTGTGAATATGTTCGTTAGGTATAATAAAAATATATATCTATTACCTTCATTTTACTGTTTCCAAAATTAGGTACGAAAACATGTTTTTCAAGAACTGGTATGTCGAGTTTATTTCTCTTCGATATAGGAGTAACATATAAGCCACGTACTTCTACACCTCCGGCGCTGTTTCAATAAATATAAAATATTTATGCTTACAATTTTTTATCATATATTATTTTTAACAGACTTTAAGATCGAAAAGGATATTCGAAGGGTAGATTTTTAAGGTATGTCCATAAATTACCCCGCCAATTATGAAACGCTTACAAAATTCCTTCTGAGGTGATCCCATTCTATTTTGTCGAACTCGAATTAGCTTTGTTTGAGAATGAGTTTTGTTTTTACGAGTATTACAAAATAACTCGAAGCATTCTCTTAAATAACAGTATTATGCTGAACTACTAGACTAGACGGAGTTTGAGAGACGTACAAAGTTTGGAGTACTTTGTTAGTTGCATAAAATAGTTTTCTGTTCAATAGGAAATAGGTTAAAAAACAAAAATATTATGAATACATTCTTCACTAAAATATATCACTTACCGAATAACATTCACATTCGGATAGACGCGGACTTCGAAGGAATGTTTGCTAGAGTCAGCACACATCTTTGAGATAGCATTATAATGCACGTTAGTGTCAATCGACAGTTTCTTTATTCTAGTGGGGACTAACAGGCCCCTAGTGTCTTGGCCTATGATCTTGAGCTGTAGCATACAGTCCATGAATGTGACCCAGTTATTGACCCACGTGAGGCGGCCTCTGGTTCCTTCAATGTTGCAACCAATCACACCACGGAAGAGTCCACTGTGTCATATATAAATGTTTAGTTACAAAAAAAATATTCGAAACTCACAATTTTAAACTTTAACGGCCGGTTTCTGAATTGAGAAAAGTACAAAATTTTAACTGATTATTCTCACTAACGTCAGTTTTCTACGTTTCACTTGGCAAAAAGTGTTTTCTTTATCACTCTACTGTCAACTGATCATTCAAAAAATTAAAATCAGTAACAGAAACTTGTTTAAGGGACGTTTAAGATGGTTTGAGTATGGTTTGACTCGTGTTTAACTTTAAATTCTCAATTCAGAAACCGAGTGTAAGATCACAGTGGAAATCTCATGGCTATATTACATTAAAAAGAGTATCTTTAAAAATGTGGTGGATTCACGTTCCTGCAGGTCTTCGGATTAAATATTTGCAGAAATAATGTCATATTTAAATTCCAGTGGTATTCACTTTTTGGGTACTGACACGGTATCTGAAGAATATAAAATCTAATTTACGAAGACATTTTTAATGAATGAAAAAACAATAGTATATGACATTGTCGTTAAAATATTGAAAAATATATTATTTATTTCTCATTGGGTAACATTAGGTTTGATTCATATCCTCCCCACCACGGCACTGGTCAACAATATCATATGCCTTCCTACGACATACACGCATAGCACTCTCATATAATACAAGATCCAAAATTAAATACTAAGAATATTTTAAACGTAACAATACATACCTTACAAACTCTAACAATATTATCTGTGTTCAAAACTTAAACGATAAATTATTTGGTATTCTAACTTATTTGTATTCTTAATGAAAAATGCTTAATAATCCATTTGGTTCTTAGCACCCTAAGTTGGGATTCGAACCCACGACCTTTCACAATCCGGGCGACTGCTCTAACTACTGAGTTACCCAGGACCTAACAGGACTGACGAATCTTTAAGGCACTTGCTACTCGTACTTTTTGCTACTACAGAGCGCATTTTCATCAATTTTCAGGCAATCCACTCAAAATATTTAAACCTTTAATAAAGATTTGGCATTCATTAAATCATCTGCTTGTAACATTTAAAATAGCCTTTTTACCTTTTACCTCTTAACTTAGCTTAATAATGTTGGAACCACAGAAATAAATCTAGTTAGAAGGAACATGTTCGTCGATTTATATGGAGACCGAGCGTGCCACATTTTGTGTAGGTATCATGACGTCACGATCTTAATTTAGTGATGGAAGACATAATTTCACTTGCATCGAATACATGTTGTATTTGAAACGGCATACCGATTCTTATCGATTGAAAAACGATATCGATCGACGGAGACCAACGTGTACAGTCTGTCTATAAAGTCATGAAAAGAATGTTTGAGGAACTAACATTAGACACAAGTATCACAACACTGAATCAAAGTACATCGACTGTCATCAACTTGATTTTTTAGCTCGATTTTCTGCATTTTTGATTTGTTTTGATTAAACTGAAGCTACTTCTTCTAAACTCCGTCGAAAAGTGTTAAAAATGAAGAGAATTAATCAGAGTGAAGCTCAGGATATTATTTATAAAGTTTTTCAGTGATGTTTATTGGAACAAGAAGCTGGACACATTTTATCATATTTGTAGAATGTTAAAGCTCGAACGGCAGTAATCGTGTTACTAATCGTGTAAATAGTTTCAAATTTACTAAATATATGAATTTAAGTCTAAAAGAAGTATTGATTACATTATGCATTTATAGGTTAGATTGAAAATGTTAGAAGGCTATATTGTAGTGCGGTCCGAACTCTCAATACTTTTGGATAGTCAAATTTATCATTGATTTTAATCTGAATAAAAAAAAATACCTTTTAGGAATGTACGATTTTTACCTATGTACGCCAATAAAAAGTTTGTGCTTTATATTACTAAAATTATAGCATTATTTTATCATTGTGGCGATTCCATTCTTTTTGCCAAATACCTATAGGTATTACATTTTTAAAACTTACTTTCAGGAAAATCAGAGAATATAGTGCTACGTATTGTAGATGAAGGTTATAAAAATGGTGGCATATTTGAAACCCCTGGGAAACATAGATAGTCGTCCTAAGAAATAAATGGTTAACTGCAACATTTGTGCACTTTGACAAAAGATTCAGTTCTTTTACTCTGTGAAAAAAAGAGGTACCTACATGAAGAAAACATCAGTGGATTGCCAAAACCGATCTGAATTTTAATTATAGCCTAGAAGTTCTGCGTTAAATTCTGAAATATATTGGGTTTTCTTACAAGGAGTGTCAAAGTAACGGGCTTTAATCGAACACAAGCACACATTGCAGTAAAACGAGAAAACAACTTGGCAATTATAAAAAAAAAGATTTATCAAAAATTACGATTACTATATTGTAATCTCCAATGTAGAATAAACTCATTGTCTACGAATTATACGCCTTTCTTCTTTTCTGGGGTAATAAGAGTAAAAAAAAAATCCTACTATCAAAATCATTTGTCTCACTACACAGGGTTGCTACGTGCACGATCGAAGCGCCCTCAATTTTTTTCATGACTTTATAGACAGACTACCATTTTGCTTAAATATTATGTATATGTCACGAACTCACGTATGTAATTTAGTGAATCGGTGCAAAAAAGATTTTATGCGATAGAATAGAAATCGGCATTTTTCTGTGGGCAAACACTTTGTAGTAGCCGCTACCCCCTCCCGACACGCTACACATTTTTACGTCCTGTGTTGTTATGTTATGTTTCACGGCGGGCTTTTCTGCAACTCGATACTCAGTTCCTATTTTCCAGACACGGGGTTGCTTTAGTCCTGCCACCCCATCTCCTCCAGGAAGCCCGTAAGATCTCGAACTCTGCCGCATGCTTCCACTAGTATCCTTGGGCTTCATAGATATGTAGTCCTTTTGTCTTAATAGACTCCTGCATTCCAGTATCACATGAGTGCACAAGCGCTTATGTGATACTGGAATGGAGACTGAGGAGACAATCTCCTCAGTCTCCATGCACGCCCTGCTCAGAGGACTGTCAGAATTACCCATGTTATATAGGTGTTTGTTAAAGTTTCCATATCCAGTAAGTATACCTACTATTTGCCTTAGAGTCCTGTTGCTTCAATCCATTTATTTTTAATATTAGGATCATACGGAAAACTAAAACAAAAATTACAGTATAATTCAATATAAAATTAATTATCCTTTCGTCTGCTTTCAAAAACGATATTTTTTTAATCGGGTAAAAAAATCGCATTGCACAGCACTATTCTCCATTTTTGGCCTCCAACAAATTGACCTTGAATTATACATCGATGGTTTTACAAGCACAGCAAATTTGGACTGTCAAATTAAAGCCGCAATGGAAAGCTATTACTAGACACATGACCGTTTTGATAAAAATAATACGGAGCAACAAAACTAATGATTTTTAATTCAAAATAGATATATCAAGGTAAACAGTTACTTACCGATGGAAGGAAATACCTCGACTATAAGATCCAACCATATTGGTGGTGTTTGAGCAGGTAATTATCGAACAACGCATCATTTTAAATTTCGTCCAACACCGATTGCGATCGAAAGTGGACTGAGCCTCGCGGCGAGCAATGAAGCTGTCTAGACGTCGTTTCGGCACGCGAAGTACGTACACTTTTTCCTTCTAACTAGATATATTTCTGTGGTTGGAACACTCGAAGACGACACTCAATGCGTTGTGTCTTTTGGCACAACGACGCATTTCAAAGTTTTCCGACATTGCTTTAACAAATTTCCTCTTTTTCAAAAGGATGAAATGAATCTCATTTTTCTTTAAAAACTCCTTTTTTTCTTCTAACGTTAATATCTTCACAATCTTACTCTATGAACTTCCATGGAAGCCTTTGTCACACATAATACAATTGTCTCTTTTTTCTATTCACTTTGAAGATGATGTTGATAAACAAGTTGCAGTAAAAAAACAAACAGTGCCCTTCTTTTACATCTTTATGAGCTATTGTAATTATATTCTTTCCTCAGATTCGACTTCTACTTCTTCTTTTATTAATGGCTTATCTTCGTATTTCGCACAATTTTCCAATTTCGTGAGCTTATATGTACGTCATTATTTTATCATATAGGAGCCTAGTAGAAAATTTTGAAACATTTTTCGATACGATATAGTCGTCGGTTTCTCTTTGGTCTCAAGTATAATTGTAGCAATTCTCTCACATAATAGTCTATGATCATGTCGTCATTACCAAAACCAAAACATGCCCAAGAAGCTCTGACGACTACAAATGACTTCGTTGTATGTCATGTTACTGACGTTAATTCTATAATTAAGGAAATTCAAGATGTTTTTTGAACTCACTCGATTTTGTTAACGTAAATGTTATATTAGGAATTCCGAACAGTACTACAGATATCAAGGATAGAGCGAACGAAAGAAATATAAAGTATGTTTAGCGTATCTGTATTTTTAAAAGGTTTGCTCATCCTAAGAACAAAACTCAACCTATTTATTACAACACTATATTATTACAATCTATATACAACTAAGAAGACATTTTTATTGAATGCAAAAACAAGAGCAATATTTTGTCGTTTAAATTATTTAAAAAAAATGTTTCTCATAGGGTAAAATGAGTTTTAATTCACAACAAAAAAATATTAGAAACAATAAAATAAAATTCATTCAGTCATATCTTTGTCCTCACCTATACTGATATCCTCTCAGTCTAAGTTCCTTGTAGAAATCGTTGGCGAGCATGTGTTTGCGTCCTGTAGACTCGGGCACTGGTGGCGGCAGTAAGCGATAGTTTTGACCCATATTCTTCTTTGCATAGATGCGACCAGTGACAATGGAGGCTCCACTCTCTACAATCTAAGAGCAATATTTGTGAAGTTAATAGTGTTTGATACTGGAGGCATTAAAGTTGACATATGACGACATAATATGGAACATTTTACTACCTTCTAAACAACTTTTTAAAATATTTATGGGTCTAAGTATGTAATGCAGAAAGGTTTTAAAAGAAGGCCGAGAAATAATTTATTGTAACTATAAATAATTGGATCTTTTACCTGTGTAGAGAAGTATAGGTAGACAATACGAGGAGAGTTAATATAGCTCATTTACATGATTGTTTAGTAAAATGTAATCTCTGCTAAATCATAAGAGTTCTCCTTTTGAAAATAAATATCATTTAAGCTTAAAAAAAATATTTATTTATGACCTACGACTACTTTTCCGCTTTCTCTTTGATATATAGTTACTTTGAAAGGCTAATTGAAAAGCTTTTTGTTCCTTAGTCATGCTTACTTCAAAATTTCCACTTCCCCTCTGAATTATCACAATAAATTCCAAATTTCCATTCACGGGGATATTGGTGACCCTCTGGAAGCGAACGTTCTCAAACACAACGGAGACTTCAGTATACAGCTCTCCCATAATCATAGCCAAGGTCTCCCAAACTAAGACAAGGTAGCCGGTGGCAGGGTACAAATTTCGCTCTGAGGAGGAAAAACAATGAAATTATATGGTACATGTAATGACAGAAAATTTTATGCATTTGGATTATGATTAATCTAATTTCATTTCAAAGTTTATTATTAAGTTTTTCTTCTTAATTTCATTTAAAAGTTATATATTATGAAATTGTCTACTCAGTAAATTTTGGATTAATTAACCGCGAGTTAATTTGAGTATTGCTACTTGCAGAATCGAGCATTACATAAGTGAGGAAGGTGAGTCGAGCATTACATTGATTATCGCCCGCTGTACTATAAGAAGTACAGTAATTTAAGTTGAGATTAAAGTTATTAAATTACTTTTTTCATTTTGCTAACCCCTTCAACCTTTCAATCGAAAGACTCGCAGTAAGTATATAGCAAAATCATTATTCAATCATTTAATAATCTGACAGTAGCGAGCATTTTGTGCCAGTGATTTTTTGACATATGTCGGTGAGTATTTATTTCTCATTTTGTAAAAAAATTACCGTTGAAATTTAT